TAGGTAATTCACGCTCTGAGAATCGGATCGTAGGCGCCCCGCTTGCGTCACACTGCCACGCGTCCGATGTGTAGGTCAACAACCAGCGAAACGGAGTGATGCAACATTGAAGGGGCCCCGGGACACACACATAAATACACACAAATAAAAAGATTCCCCATATGTTCTCACATTTTCTATGTTTTTGTCTTCCCCCCATTTCCCATATTTCCCTATACTTTTAAGGGGAATCGACGATAATTTGTCTGTGTGTTTCTTTCCCTCCTGAAACATTACGGGCCGCTGAGTCGTTCGCAGGCCGACCACTTCCACGGCACCTTTCCGCACATGAGCAACGCGCAAGACAATCCGTGACCGCTCCACAGTGCAGAGAGGGCCCGCATGAGAGAAGCTGAATAAACCGCAAGGAACGATGGTGAGGCAACTGTGACGGAGAGGGTGACCTCGATCGGGCCGATGGGCAAGGACATGACCACCGTGATGTGAAACATCAGGCACAGTATGATTCCTCGACCCAGCCATCTGCGCATGCTCCAGAGTCGTCGAGCAACCCCCTCCGTCGAACAGTGTGCTGGCGTTCTTATGGGGGGCCACCTGCGAACCCCACCCCTATACCCCCGACGATTTCTGAGGGGGAGGGTGGGGTTCACTTCGTTCGGGTGGATTCCCTTCGGGAATCATCCGTTAAAATTGGAACGATACAGAGAAGATTAGCATGGCCCCTGCGCAAGGATGACACGCACACATCGAGAAGTGTATACAATTCACTTCGTTCGAAGCTCCCAAGTGAAGTGAACCCCACCCTCCCCCTCAGAAATCGTGGGGGTAGGGGTAGGGTTCGCAGGTGGCCCGCTATCTTACACACCCTGTGCAACATGGGCTGGGCCTCTCACCAGGGGTGGGCAGCAGTGTGAGCGTGGTCCGCGGCCAAGAACCCCGGTGGGCGCAGGGCAGCAGGACCCCGCGGCCGCAGCGCCCCCGCGATGAACCGAGAGAAGAGGCGACTCGGCCAGGTGCGGGTTCCGTCGACCACTCCTCCTCATCCTCCTCCTCCTCCTCCTCCTTCTCCTCCTTCTCCTCCTTCTCCTCCCTCCTCCCTCCTCCCTCCTCCCTCCTCCCTCCTCCCTCCTCCCTCCTCCTCCCTCCTCCTCCTCCCCTTCCCTCCTCCTCCTCCTCGTCCCTCCTCCTCCTCCCTCCTCCCTCCTCCTCGTCCCTCCTCTTTCCTCCTGGCTCCCGTGCCCTCCCGCCCTCCCTCTGCTCCGCAGCCCTCGCGAAGTGCCCTCGGCCCGCGCTCGCGGGCAGCGCGCAGCCTGTGCACGCCCCTGCGAAGAGCTGCAGCCGCGGCTGCCGGCCCAGGCCCCGGCCCTCTGTCGGGAGCGACCAAGAGGGGGGTGTCCAAGAGGGGTGTGTGCAATCATGACTGGCGGCATGTGCGCGGCCCTCCTCCTCCTCCTCCTCCTCCTCCTCCTCCTCCTCCTCCTCCTCCCTCCTCCCTCCTCCCTCCTCCCTCCTCCCTCCTCCTCCTCCTCCCAGCGGAGGGGCCAGGGACGTAATGAAATCAGAAGAGGCGCCATGAAGTCTGGGGAAATAGCATGGCCCGCGCCATGATATCCACCCCCCCCTAGTCATCGCCCCCCTCTTTGCCGCCCCCGACTCTGGACGGGCAGCGCGGCGGAGCCGGGGCCTTCGTGGAGGAGCCGGCTCTGCGCCGCACTCGGACGGCGTCCCCAACGAAGGCCCGAGCCTCTGAGAAAGCATCCCCTGGCCTTTGAGCAGGCCGGTCCCTACCGGCGCCGCATACCAGGACCCCAATCGAGTCTGCAATCACCAACCCGTTGTCCCGATAGCCTGCCCACACTACCGCCGAGGCCGTCCACGGAGACACCAACATCGAAAACCGATCGGGCCCCTGGCGAGACCGAGGCCGACCGACGCCAACAGGCCGCAAGCAGTCCAGCAGAGCGCAGCCACGCAGCGACGACGCAACAACCGAACGAACCAACCCGACGGAGCACGACAGGCGGCGACGCGACTGGACCGACCGAACTGCGGACTCCATGATCTACCCAGCTACACCAGCCCAAGTGTGGTCCCCCCTTTCCCTCACAATCCCCGTCTCCCACGATTTTCGCAAAGGGGAGAAAGATGAGTGCAAGGATGATCAAGACGAGGGGGGAGACGCGTGGTGGGGATGAGCGGAAGTAGGGAAAGGAAGCGTGGAGGAGGAGATAATGGCGAGGAGAGAGATAGGAGGGCGAAAAGCAAGCCAGATGACCAGGAGAGGAGAAGGGAGGTCGACGAACAGAGAAGAGGGAACCCTGCTTGAGGTCATCGTCACCACCGTGGCAGGTGGCTCAAACCTGTGTTCGCCCCCTCGATTCCTGGCCCGGCACCCCCCCAGGTGACCTGCCTTGACCGCGACGGACGCGACGGACTCCCCTGGGCCACCACGCAGCGCATGGCAAGGGAGCTCGCTCCGCGATCGGGGAGAGGGGCCCCCGCTCTGCAGTCGGGGAGAAGAAGTGGTGCCCGCTGCGCGACCGTGCACCGCGCATTTCGAGCGGGCCAAAGGGGCCTCGCGCAGGGTAGGGCGGCGCTCGCTCCGCGATCGGTGACGGGCCGGGCTCCGCGACAGGGGTGGCGCCTCGCGGTGCGACAGGGCGCCGCGTGCGCGGGCGGGGGTGCCGCGCGGGGATAACTGTCGCGTCGGCAGGGCCTCTGCACGCCCGAGCGGGGGCATTGTGCGGGAAGGCTGCGCCACACGAAAAGGAAAGCCACACGGGGAGGAAGCCCGACTGGTGGTGGGGGGGGGGGGGGGGGCACCCGAGAAAGGACGCCCAGTGGATCACTGGAGCGCCCCAGGGGCGGGAATCCCAGCGTGGAGACCCCATGGGGAAGAAATCCCATCGGTGTGGGTGGGGGGGGGGGGGCACTGAGAAAGACCCCCAAAGCCCAATTGGGAGCCGCGCTCCGCGAGGGGGGTGACAGCCCGCTCCGCGACCTGGGAGCCGTGCGCGCGGGCGGGGGCTTCGCGCGCACGAGGACGGCTGCGTCGCATCGGCGGGGGTCTCGCTCCGCGGCTGGCGGGGCCTCGCTCCGCGACAGGGGTGGCGCCCCTCTGCGGGACTGAGCGCTGCTCGCGTGGACGGGGGTCTCGCTCGGGGGAGGCTGCACGGCACGAGAGGGAAGGAATGCCATCTGGAGGGGCCCGGGAGCAGGAGCTCCAGGTGTGGTCCCCGGCCCAGCTGGCAGTTCGGCACGGAGGCTGCGAAGGACCCCCGTATGGTCACACGTGTGCAGCCGCTGCTGGACCCCCCCCCGGGGCCGCTCGGAGTCAGTACAAGAGGACTTCGAATCTGACCTGCGCACATGGCGAAAGAGGCACAACCAACCTCCTGGCGTCGCGGGCGAGCCTAACCACGCCCACCCCATCGGTCGCGTGGCGCTCGGCTGGCTGCTCCGACCCACCGCTGCTCGCGCATGACGTTAGGCAGATGCGGCGCTCGCTCTTGGGAGAAGGGCGGGACGGGGGACGAAGGAGATGAGGACCAGCAACAGCTGCCCATTATGCAAACGCAACTGTACTTTCTGATGAGGATGGGAAGGAGTGAGCCTTGCAACATGAGAGAAACATAGAAGGACGAGGGGGATGATTTTGGGGGATAGCGAGCGGCAGGAATATACCTGGATACAACTGTAAATGTGCTTAGCTCTGCTGCGCCCAATGAAAGCCACGGGTCCACAGGTGGCGCAGGTAACGAGGAACGACAACATCCAATCAAACGTGATGCCGACCATCCCGACGAAGGCTAGCGACACGGCCAAGACCTCGGGTTCTCGGAGGAATGACGGATGGAAGGTGCGGGATGGATGGTGGTGGCTCGGAAATCCGCAAAGAATATGAGGTCCATCAGCAAAGGTGCTAGAAAGCGCTGGTCCGGATTGCCTTGGGCCAGGTCTCACGGCGGAATAATGGTATCATGAGCAAGTTAATGCGAGGAGACTGGAGAAGATGAAAACAATGTCATTTTAGAGACAGCGGCTGCGATAATAATGAGGGCAGACTGTCTTCCTTATACGACCTCATTGTCTCGTCGTGCACTGCTGCCAGAGATTTTCTCCGCACATGGACGGAGCATCGCATTGAGAAACGATTCTGACATTACCCGAGAGACCGCGAGGCTCTCCATATGATCTGCAGGAGGCCTCGGTCCTGACGCTTTCTCAGTGCGCCTCGAGATTCGGGAGATCTTCTGCGCGAGCCCAAACTATGACACTGACTTCTGGCGTTCCAGCAGGATCCTGACAATATTGTATTCACATGTGTCCTGAATTCCAATGAGTCACGGGGGGCAGAACTCCCTCCACTGTGGCGTCCACGGACACCAAAGTGGGCAGGTGGGCGAGCAATTGAACCAACGCCAACTTCCGGATCTGGAGCCCAATGCCCCAGGAATCAAACCGTCAAAGGATCTCAGGAACAGCCGTCCAGCGCGAAACGAGCAAGAAGACTGTATGGGGTGCTCCAGAAGAAAAACACACTTGGCGCTCTCGTGACAGCCGTGATCTCGTGCGCACAGGCGCTCCAACCTTGGCACGCACGCCCAAGAATGACAACGAGCAGCATACACATACAACACGTTCGGAGGTCAGCGAGGAGTTCTGGCGTGCGGAGCGCGCCAGTGGCGGCACTGGAGGCGCGCGTCGGGGAAGTGTGGACCGCGGTCCAAAGCCGACACCAAAAAATCCCGTGCGGGCCTCCGAAAGAATATGTTTCTTTCGTTGATCGGTTTCTTGCAAGTGCGGGCGTGAAGCGCCCGACGACCATTGGGCCAAGAACTCCCATAGCTTTGGGGAGCTTCCGCTTCACACAACTCTTCGGCCGCAGGCTCCCCGACGCAAACTCCTCATTCTCCTCCCCCCACCCCCCTGGTCCTCCCACCCTTATCCCTCCTCCTCGGGCGCGAGAAGGGCCGTCGCAGGCCGAAAACGGAGAAGAATTAATGCATGACACCCGTGTCTCTAAAACCCTCCGGCGAGAGTTCGCCCTCCCCGCTTGTGACCAGGGTGTTGAGCGTGCCCGACACGAGCTCCTTCTGCGCCTCGGCCATGACCCACAGATTGGACGTGTGGAACGCGTCCTGGGCCCGAGAGCACCACACCATTGCTCCCGAGAGAAGGAGGAGGAGGAGGAGAAGGAGGAGGAGGAGGAGGAGGAGGAGGAGGAACGCAACGACAAGTAAAAGGAATGATAGACTGATTCCTTCCGCATGCCTTACCATGGCTCAAGAACTCCGAAACTTCAATCCTTCAATGCACAGCATGCAGACTCACGCAATGGCCACCCAGTAGAAAGGGCGGAATGCAAATTCAAAGGCGAGTGGAAAACAGCAACAACCACCCAATAGGTAATGAGAATCGGCCTGGTTTCCCAACCTGCTTTGCTGCACATGTGTTCCAAGATTGCCCAGGACACCGTGGCCTACAAAGCCGGCGCCAGATAGCAGATTGAAGCCGGCGCAGGCTTTGCTGGGAAAGCCCGACGTGTCGCTGCCCTCCTTCGGGCGTCACCATCTCCGTACAGTGCCCACCCAACTCATTGTGCCAAACGAATGGCATGGGAGCGTGAAAGGCGGGCCCCCGATCGAACAGTCCAAAACGGTGGGGCACCCGTCCTTTGCGACCCGGCTTGCCTCCTCGTTGTAGCGGTCAAGGTGCTCGTCCCACCTGGCTCGGACTCTCCCACCCCACTCCACTCCTTGCACCTCGGGCGGCCCTCTTGGCTCGCGAGAGCCCCCAGGCTGCAGGCAGGTCCTCGACGCGCCGCAGGCGGGCGTCGGGAAAGGCCATGACGACGAGGACGGCGAGGAAGAGGCAGATCGCAAGAAAGAGGCCTCGGGCAAGCCGCCGACGCGAAGACGACGAGGAGGACGAGAAAGACGCTGGCGACGACGCCCCCGCCCTGACGAACTGCACGAGGGCGCCGTGGTCTGGCGCCGGCGAGCACGCCGGAGCGGCAGCTGCGAGGGCGGACCCGCGCAGAGGCGGGCACCGCCCGCAGAGCACAGGCGGCGGCCACGTGCGCGCGCGCCTGTTCGGGCGCTCGCCGCAGGTCCGCCCGGGCCCCCAGCGACCAGGCCAGCGTGCTCGCGGGAGCTCGTGCCGCACGCCGGTGCGCTCGTGGGCCCGGCGACCGCGCGGCTCTCGCTGAGCGAGGTCGGCTTCCTCAACATTATTGCTCCTGAAAGTGGTGGCAGCAACTTCACAGGGGAAAGGGGGATGGCTTTCAAAATGTGGTGGTCGCCTCAGCGCCGCGCACATTCGCGTCCAAAGCTGCAACGTGCGCACGGATGGACGGCGGACCGTGTTCACCATGTGGCTCTCGCGTTCGCGCCGCGCACACTCGTCGCAGAAAGTTGCAGCACGCAGATGGAGGCCGGAGCCGGTTCAAAGCATGGCTCCCGCCTGCGCGCCGCGTGCCATACTCGTCTTGGGCAGCCGCAACCGCTTCGCGCGTGGATGGCGATCCCTCTTCGACACGTCGCTGCCTCGCCTCAGCGCCGCGTGCACTCGCTGAACACAAGTGCAAGCGTTTCACGGATGGTGGGCGGTTCCTCTCAGAGTGTGGCTCTCGCCCAGGCGCCGCGCACACTCGTGGTCAGAACGCGCGAACCTTTCGCGGATTCTCATGGTTATCACATCAGCAATGGTGTTTTGCCACGATGTCGGATTGTCAGGGCGTAAGAGTTCTGTGCAACCGTGGTGTTGGAGTCCCAGAATTTGCGTCCTGGGGCGATTCAGGATCGTCACGACGCGACAATAACGAGGATTCGCGGCGTTGTCCCAGGAACGGTGTTCGGACGCCGTTCAGCATTGTCAACACGGTTCTCTTCCAACGGAGCAGTTGCCTTAGTAAAAATGGAAAATGAAGCCTGGTATGGGGCCCGTGAAGAGGGAACTTGGAGGGACTGCTTATTGCACGATCGTTGATGACTAGTCCACCTCCGCCGCCTCCTCCTCCTCCTCCGCCTCCTCCCTCCTCATGAGGCGGACGCCTCCTCCCTCCCTCCTCCTCCTCCTCCGCCTCCTCCCTCCCTCCTCCTCCTCCTCCGCCTCCTCCCTCCCGCCTCCTCCCTCCCTCCTCCTCCTCCTCCTCCCTCCCTCCCTCCTCCTCCGCATCCTCCCTCCTCCCTCCCTCCCTCCTCCTCTCCTCCTCCTCCCTCCTCCTCCTCCTCCTCCTCCTCCTCCTCCTCCTCCTCCTCCTCCTCCTCCCTCCTCATGAGGCGGACGCCCCTACCGCGCGCCACCTCCTCTTCAGCTCCAGGGAGAAGTCGGCGTCCGCCGAGCGCCTCGGCGCCCCCCCCCTGGCGGCCGAGCCCGGATTGGCCGGCCGCGGCGGCGGCGGCCTCCGCCCAAAGGGGGCCGCTCCACTGCGGGCAGGCGAAGACACAGCCCAGGTGTGAGCGTGGCTGGTCAGAGTGTCAGTGGGCTGTGTGCGTA